ACGTCGGTCGACGCTTTGAGGATGGATTCACACCTTCACCAGCCCTGACTGCCAAGATGTGGCACAAAATGTGAAAAAGGGAACAATCCGTCTTGACCGTTGCTGTACACGTGACACTTCGCACATTTAGCTTTATGCGTGACATAAAGTGATTTGCCACTCAATTCTTATCCAAGCATATTAATTTCTCGTCTCTCAAGCCCAAGGTTGCCGAGATGGGCCATGGTTTCCAACGGCTCTGTGCCGGCTTGGGGCCGGCACACACACCTTTCCAGGCCGCCCATGCAAAACCAATGGGTTAAAACAACAATTTACGGCACGTGCCACGCAGCGCTCGTTCATTGCACCGACAACAACATTGCCATGGTACGTCGTCTCTTGCGCACGCGCACTGTGACCAAGTTTCACTTTTAAGCAACTCATTGTTTGACCTGCACGCGACTCAAAATGCAAAAGACGACAAACAGACAGACAGGCAGACAAACGCACTCTCTTCAAATAAGTGTATTGACCGTTGACATAATCTGTATACGTCAGCAGATCTCCATTGTGATTGATCCGTCAGTTAGACAGACAGACAGATATACAGACAGGCAGGCAGTCAGTCAGACAGACAGACAGACAAACAGACAGACAGACAGACAGGCAGGCAGACAGACAGGCAGACAGGCAGCCAGGCAGACATACATACATCCATACATAAATGCATCCGTACATACATACATACATGCATACATACATACATACACATACACACATACAAACATACATACATACGTACGTACATACATGCATACATGCATACATACATACATTCAGACAGGCAGGCAGGCAGACAGACAGACAGACAGACAGACAGACAGACAGACAGACAGACGGACAGACAGACAGACAGACAGACAGACAGACAGACAGACAGACCGACAGACAGACAGGGCAATCGCGAAAGTGCACACAACGTGAAGCGCATGGGGTGCACAGGACTTACACGGCTTGTATGTCACTTACACTTACCTCACGGCATTGAATAGCTATCTGACACATTCCCATATGCTTAAAACACAGTATAAGGGTGAAACTTTTAAAAATCGACAATAATATTTATTTGAGAATATCATTGCCCTCCAACTTCCTTTTCTCGTCTCGTCTAGTTTCTTGATTAAGAGCTTTTTGTGCTTAAAGGGAATTTTTGGTAAGCTTTCAATGTTCAAAGACGACCCTAAGTAGACAAATTTCAAACTTTATAAAAATGCGCCCCACCGCGTCATCGTTTCATAGTGCCATGGGATGGTTTTGTGACGACAGCAATGACTGGCGGCATCTGGCAGCCAGACGTAAAGAATGCCTTGAAACACACGAAAGCTGACGGCCGGCCGGCCATTCTTGTCGCGGGCGCTGCGTCGCTTGGCGGATTAGTGGATGGTTTGTTTGTTGATTTTTTGTCTTGGTCCTGGTCGTTAGAAAAGTTTTGGTGGACTGTTTGACATACGCACTGTAGCGATCGCCAGCCTTTTGGCAGATTATTAATATCAAAGCGCGATATGCTGTGAAAACTGTGGTATAGTGTCATGAGTCTCTTACCGAATCTTGCCAACGACTATTGAGAATGTCAGTACTGTATTGTCGACCTACCCTTGCCTTCAGTCCTGTAATCCTAACATTGATATCATGTGATGTGCGTAGTAGTTACCTTTGTATTATTTGTAACTGGAAATGGAGTTGCATACAAAAATTAACAAATCTGTAACATTGTTATGAATTTATTGCAAAAGCATTGGTATTGCTATGGTAAAAATGGTAAGGCTGAGTTACCAAGAATGTTTTTCTTGCTTGGGATTATTTACGCAGCTATTATTTAACCCTGATATAACCGCTGTGGTGCTATACAACGTTCTGACTGGTGCTAGTCCGTATGCGTTGTTAAATGAGCTGTTACCAGTCATAAATTATAAACTGTTGTCGCATACGCTTGATATAGAGTAGTCAACCAATGTGGCGCATTGTGTAGTGACACGGGTCAACAGCGTCATTGTACCACTACCTCAGTGTTGTACTATGGCATGGCATGAGCAATGGTACGGTTTCTGTACCACTATCCTGCTGCTGTTATAATAAATTCCATCATGAAAAGATTGGCCAAGAGTGCATTCTTGTGTCAACTCTGCATCTGACATATGACTGACCAAAGACACATGATGCAATACCCAAATCACTTCCAACAAAGCACACAACTAGTAAGTGATATTACTTGGTCAGACTGTTTTGTGAATCCACAAAATGTAGGTGACAAAGATGCAAACATGTCTTCCGCCTCCACAGCCATGCAGCATGCTGCAGCCATCAGCTGCTTCACTCAAAAATAACAGGAAAATATTACATGCAGTGATGTAACACTGCAAGCCTGCTAGCCTTGCACAAGGCCGGAGACATGACAAGTGCATGTAATTATGGTTAAATGGGCGGAATGCAGGGAAGTGATGAAGCTGCCAGTGCACACAAGGCTCATGGCAAAGATATGGACGATGATCAGTGAAGAAACAAAAACATATTGGGCTCATCAGATAGCGACGAAACGCTTGCATGCTCTCATAGCGGCCGAGCGCTCCTTCTCGATCTCGGTATATCTCTGCTCACAGTCACTCAGAGTGCTGGAGCACACGCCACCGGTCGTATCTGTCACCATGCTGCAGGGCCTGCGTTCCACCCAGCCCATATGAACTAGCATGAGTGCTTACCACCGTGAGGTGAGGTCGTAAACCACTGTAATAGGCGCCCTGAAGAGCTCCTGCTTGATGACATCTACAGCGCTTTGTTGCTCATGGTCTAGCGCCATGTGACATGGTTTTTCAGCAGCTTATCTAGTGGACAAAGCTTTTCCGAAGTGTTCGGTAGGGCTTAAAAAGATGATCACCCCCGTTATGCGCTTTAGGTTTCCAAATATGTCAACAACTGATTAATGAAACGAGAGGAACTACAGCAATAGTTCATAGAAGAACAAATGAAACGTGAAATGTAAAGTCCGGCCGAAATAACGGATATTTTAAAATTGACGATTTGAGACTGATGGGTCATGAGGACAACTACAATCAGATTCGTACATATCAGTGCCACCATCTCGCTCACCGATTATGAGAGCACAAGGTGGCGTACGTTGGCTCTGACCCCTGGACGCGGCGCACGATCATGAACAAGCAGTCTAGACAACTGAGGCCCGTCACCCCCCGTCAGCGTAACTTTGCCACACTTGAAATTCATGATAGAGACGTTGGTTGTCCATTGTCAGCCAACGGGTGCCGGGGGGTAGTGTTACCCATCGCTATTGTTAATCGGTTGATCGCAATTGATGATCAGTGAAGAAACAAAAACATATCGGGCCCATCAGATATGCAACGAAACGCTTGCATGCTCTCTCTGCCTCCCCCCCCCCCCTCCCCCTCCATCTTGAACTGCTACCCGCCGTCACTGTCATAATGCTAACAGCGAGCGTCCGCGCTTTCCAGACTGAGTGCACAAGAAGCATGGCATCCATACCGAGAAGGCATTTGTCAGACCTCTTGTTGTGGAGTTCCTGGAATGGATGGATCGGCTTCCTCCGAGGATGAGGCAATCGTCCAAGCTGGCAGTATACACTGAGCAGCGTCACCAAATACGCAGGCGAACTTTGTGGGTGACATGACCACTAGAAGAACATTGCAGTGGTCTTCACCGACGCCGTTCCACGTCCATTCAGCCGCCAGTGTCTCTGTTACGCGGTGGCAGGGTGCGTGACGTAGGTGCGCCTAAATTGTGCCGCTCGGCACCAGTATAACCAGCGATCTGAGGCGAACCCACCGGGAGTCTTCCGCTGCAGATCCCCTCAGTCGGTCATGGTGTGTCGCATGGTCGTGGCGCTGCTGTAGGTCGTGCTCGGAGCGCGAACTAGTGCGAAGTCGTACCAGAGCCGGCCAGCTTGCGCGCCCGAGGGCAGGCAGAGAGGCGTTTGCCGCCCGCCAGCACACGAGCGCCGCCACTGCTGACCCTCACGCGAGCAGTGACATTGAGGGGCCCTCGGGCGACGTTACGGCTCACGTTTAGCAGCCCGACTGGGGTGTCGGGGGATGAGGAGTGACATGGGGCTCGCAGCGCTCATGGCTGCAAGGGGACGGGGAGGAATAGGCTCGGCTAGGGCGTTTGGGGGATGAGGACTGACGTGGGGCTCGCAGCGTTCATGGCTGCGTGAGGAATGGGCCGACCAGTGCGGTGGGCGAGGGCTCGGCAGGATTCAGCGAGCCATGCTCGTCGGAAGAGGCCGGCCGGGTGGGCCATGGCCCATGCGTCGGGCTCTTATGTTTGACATTAATTGCGTGGTGATGAGAGAAAAACATGGTTTCAGATAAGGTCAGGCCAACTAGTTTTTTGCGACTTCACTCCTGAGAGCAGCCCTCGCCTGAAGCACCCCAACCAGACGATGTGTCGAGGCGTTCGCCAAAACAAGTATGCCGCCCAATGTACCCGGCGGTGCCTGCGACCTTTAAAGCACTCTTCAAGCGCTCCCATTGAACACTCGGACACTCCTACAGCAAGCGGAACAACAAAGCAAGGTGTTCTGCAGAGAGTAGGGCCAATTGATACAGCATCCTCTTTAATCGAGCCATTAGAAGGAGCTCTTGTCATCGCGCTTGCGCTCGTGCTTGCTGTCATCGGTTCCAAACTGCAATTTTGCACTCCACCGAGCTAAAACACGGAGTTGGCTCAAACTGAATTCGAACTCGTCACCATCATGTTCACAGTCAACTATCATGCCAGGTATAAGCCGGTCTACTGGTGCGTCGCCGCGTGGAGCAATTTCCGCCGCAGGCACCCGCTTTGTCCCTCTCCCCTGTCATGCCCTGTTGCCGCCTGATCAAGATCCCCATCCCGCGGCACAACTTTTCGGCAGCCGGTCTGACGCGCATGCGCGGTACGGCCGGTTGCCAGCAGAAGGCCGGTGGTGGGAGTGGCCCGAGTCAGTCGCGAGTGAGCCGGCGCGGGGTGGGTGTGCTGGGCCCGGACCAGTACGAGGCGACACGCGTCCGGCCCGTGCCGCCGCTGCCCGGCCATGGAGGTGGTGCCGCTGTGTCTCGCCGTCCTCGGTACGTGGCTGGATGTGGGGCTGCGCGGCGCCGCCACCCACACACGCCCCCTTAGGTCCGCAGCCGACCTGCGGTCCCCCGGCGGCGCGGTGGATAGCTCATCGCCCACACACGCCCCCTGAGGTCTGCAGTCGACCTACGGTCTCGCGGCGGCGGCGGCGCGATGGGACGGCTCACCGTCTCTGCTATGGTTGTGGGTTGCCTGACGAGTCCACCACTCTAGACGCTGGCCTGGATATCGGACCAACTTCACAGAGATCGCATCCCGCTGTGCGTGACAAGGCTGCAGACTGGCTGCTGCGGTTTTGTCGCCAACAAATAAAACCTTTCCTGCTACCTGCAAGACGCCTAGAGAAGTAGCCGCATTCCCCTACACTGTTATATTTTGAAACGACGTCATCAGAATTATCCCATTCGGAAGCAGTACCTTCTTCAATACCTGATATATATTAGTTTCCGCTGCTCAAAAGTGCATGCATAATACGTACATCTCGATGAATGCCCAGGTATTTTAACGCTGCGTCCTAATGGAAAAAGGTTTCTTCATCCCAATGTTCACCTGACCGGTGGTTACGCTCTCGAAACCATTTGATACAACCACGTGATAACGCGCACGTCCTCTGTCTGTGTCCTCACCAAAATATCCTTTCTTAGAACATGAGTCCAAGCCTTTTTCGCAAACCACGACGCACAGCTGCACGTGGTCATAAATCAAAACCGCAAACGTCGCGGCGGGACGCGGTCTGGCGGTGCGTGTCGGCTGAGGCGGCGCGCTGAGTGCCCGGCCGGCCCTCCCGCTCGGTTGTCCGGGCAGCGGGGACCGGGACGTGCCGCGCCGCATGTTAGCTGGCGCGGTGGCGAGCCGCTGTCACGTGCCGCACGTGCCTGCTGTCGCCGCGACGCTGTCACCTGATTCACAGCCAGCCGCAACCACGAGCACGCGTGCCGCCGGCCGGCGGTCAGTGCGAGAGCGCAGGTCCCGATGTCGGGTCCTCTGTTCCCCGGAGCGGGTCTCCGGCCGATCGGCCCGGCAGGCGGGCGGCCCCGGTCAGAGGTCACTGGTCTGCCGTCCCTTGTCAGTAGTACACCTTCAGCTGTCTTTGTCCCTGGTCCGCGGTCCCTGGTCAGCAGTGCAGCTTCAGCTGTCTCTGACTAGCAGTCCCTGGTCCGCGGTCTCTGGTCAGCAGTGCAGCTTCAGCTGTCTGTGACCAGCAGTCCCTGGTCTGCGGTCCCTGGTCAGCAGTACACCTTCAACTGTCTGTGACCAGCAGTTCCTGATCAGCAGTCCCCAGTCAGTGGTTCACCTTCATTTGTTCCTGGTCCGTGGTCCCTGGCCCGCGGCCGTCGGTCAGAGACCGGCTACTCTACCAGCGGCCTCCGGTTCATTTAGGTCCGATCGGCGGTCTGTGGTCCCTGTTCCGTGGTCTGCCCAGCGGCTGCTCTGGTCCGGCGCAGAGTGTGTGTCGATGCGAGTGGCGGCGTGCCGGAGCGTAACACACAGCTGACTGGTGGCAGTGGATTCAATACACATGGCGTGCTTAGAAGGTGATCAGCGCAGGTTGCTATATACAGTTTATTCCCCTCCCAAGAGGCCTTGGTCCGATGTCATAACACGCCACCATCATCGATCAGTTGCCAATCACAGGGTTCTCCTCGACGCTAAGCAGCATCGAGGCACTTTTTGTTGTTTTGGCTGTATCGGTCGTCCCCACGAAGACGTGGTATAAGAAGACGCTCGAGTGCCACCGAGCGGCACAGCCCAGTTCGCGGTCGGTCGGTGGTGATCTGGCGAGCGCGCTTCATTAGCTAACTGCAGCACTAATGGGGGGACACACTGCGGCGTGCGGTGGCCGCGGCAGGGCACGCCCGCGGGGTGACTGGCGGCTGCCGCTCACGCCACGACCAGCCGCTCGTCGGCCACCAGGCGCCTCCCGGTCACCAGCCGCCCCCCCCCCCCCCCCCCGGCCACCAGCCGCTCCCCGGCCACCAGCCGCCTCCCGACCACCAGGCGCTCGCCGGCCACCAGCCGCCCCCCGGCCACCAGTCGCCTCCCGGCCACCAGGCGCTCGCCGGCCACCAGCCGCCCCCCGGCCACCAGCCGCCTCCCGACCACCAGCCGCCCCCCCCCCCCCGGCCACCAGCCGCCTCCCGGCCATCAGCCGCCCCCCGGCCACCAGCCGCCCCCGACCACCAGCCGCCTCCCGACCACCAGGCGCTCGCCGGCCACCAGGCGCTCGCCGGCCACCAGCCGCCTCCCGGCCACCAACCGCTAGCCAGCCACCAGCCGCCCCCCAGTCACCAGCCGCCTCCCGGCCGCTAGGCGCTCGCCGGCCGCCAGCCGCCTCCCGGCCACCAGGCCCTCCTCGGCCGAACGCATGCGAGGTTTGAAGCTTACCGACCCTGCGCGGGTGTCAAGCGCTGGTCTCGTTTGCGAAGGTTATGATGCTTGCCCCGTTGTAAATGCGCCGGGGCCTTCTTTACCAAGCATCATTCGATGACACGTGTTCAGTTCGGTCGACTATAGTACATTGCCGATCAAATATGGTCCTTTTTGTTACGTAAGCGGCTCTATCCACAATCTACACCATCTTCTTATGTAATATGATATGGGTATCTTCTTTTTACGACGTGCTGGTCTTGCAAAGTTTTGCAGATGGAGCGCAATCGGAAGTCAGGCTCTTGCATTACCGCTGGGTTCTGGCCCGCAGGCATCACGAATGAACACAGGGTAATCGTTGTGGTGTTCGGATTTGCAGGGGAATGGAAAGCTGCGTTTTGGGATCAGAAGGCTTTTCTCGTCCCAGAATATGCAAGATTACGCAAACGCTTTGGCGTGTCAAATCCCTTGGACATAAACCGCGCTTCTGCCAGTCTCGTCGGGCTTGGTTTACACGGGTTAGGCCTCCAAAACCGTTTTCCCATTTTACTTGTTCTACAGTGGTGGAAAGTTCTGATTTCAAAGGGCAGTTTCGAACTCAGCAAAGCCAGCACATATTCAGTGCCGCGTTTTTGCGCCTTTCGGACGGCCGTTAAGCTGTTGGCTCAAATTCTGTCATTATTTAGATACTTATATGTGTCAATCGACTTCGCATGGTCCTCGCCCGCGCAAATTTCATTGGACCTAGGCTGTGCAAAATTATCGTAACGTAAAGGAAAGGCTCCTAAAACTGCAGCGGATGAACACAGGGAGTGTGCCGTAGCCCATTGCCTGGTGCTGGCCCCTGGACCAAACCAGCAATAAGGTTGGGCTTAGCCAAAATTCCACGACTTTCTGCTTTGGAAAACTGGTCACTGGTTAGCCTTACAGAGATGGCCAGCATGACGTGCTTAATAATTTGATCAGAGTTTGTCCAGCTCTACATGCAAGCAACAACGCTTATAACCCTAGTTGATTGTAACTGTTTCACGTTCGGATTGCGTTAGTGCTCAGGCAATCGCTATCTTTAGCTTTGACTTACTGTTCTACCTTCTTTAAATGACTGCTGCTTTATCTCACATGTAAGCTTACGTTTTCATTTCTTTCGCGGCTTCTTAGCGAGGGTGAAGCGACTTGTTAAATTCGTAAGGTATTGATGTAAGGGCTTGCTATTGCGGCACTTACGGAATGACACCCCTGTTTGCCTGTTGATGGATTATAGTTGGAAACAAAGATCTTCCGCTTATTTTACTAACACAGTTATTGCCAGCCCAACCTCTCAGACCCCCTTAGCATGTCCACACGTCTTTCATCCTTGGCCTCCTGCCGCCTTTGTCTGGACCTCTGTCTCTCCACCCACGCCCGTCCTGACGGCGCATTGATCCTAGCGTCGTCCCGGTCGCCTTCGACACTGCCCCCCCCCCCCCCTCTCCCCCACCGCCGCCCTCTCGGCCCAGCGCTGACAGAGAGCATCATATCCGCGGCCCGGGAGCCGATCTCACGGGCGACGGCATGAATAATTCACGGCCGCCGCGCCGGGCCGGGCCGCGGAGAGCGGGCGTGGGGGAGGGGGGAGGGGGAGGGAGCGGCCGACGGCACGGGCTTCGGTCACCAGAGCACTCACTGCTGCGCTCCAGCGCCTGACGGCACAGGGTCCGGTCATTAGAGCACTCACCGCTGAACACTGTACAGTACGCGACGCCCTGACGGCACGAGCTCCGTTCATTAGAGCACTGTACAGGACACAGCGGCTGACGTCACGGGCTCCGGTCATTAGAGCACTCACCGCTGCACACTGCACAGTACGCGACGCCCTGACGGCACGAGCTCCGTTCATTAGAGCACTCACCTCTGAGCGCTGTACAGGACACAGCGGCTGACGTCACGGGCTCCGGTCATTGGAGCACTCACCTCTGAGCGCTGTACAGGACACAGCGGCTGACGTCACGGGCTCCGGTCATTGGAGCACTCACCTCTGAGCGCTGTACAGGACACAGCGGCTGACGGCACGGGCTCCGGTCATTGGAGCACTCACCTCTGAGCGCTGTACAGAACACAGCGGCTGACGTCACGGGCTCCGGTCATTGGAGCACTCACCTCTGAGCGCTGTACAGGACACAGCGGCTGACGTCACGGGCTCCGGTCATTGGAGCACTCACCTCTGAGCGCTGTACAGAACACAGTACCTGACGTCACGGGCTCCGGTCATTAGAGTACTCACCGCTGCACTCTGTACAAAACACAGTACCTGACGTCACGGGCTCCGGTCATTAGAGCACACATCTCTGAGCACTGTACAGAACACAGCGGTGCGGTATTGGTCAGGGTCGGCGCCCAAGCCGGCAGCTGTCACCACAGAACACAATTCATGCTGCACAGAAGGATGTCATTTTTCAAAACTGCTTGTGGATGCTCAGTCCATCGGGCTAAGCAAGTTCACCCAAAAGCGAGATTTCTCCCCGGAATCTGGCAGCTAGGATTACGCCCTGGGTTCTCTTTACCATCGTGGGCCCACGTAGGTGGGGTACAGGGCACGCGACCCAATGGTGAAAAGTGCCTTTTCTGTCACGAACGAAGTTTAGAA